TCTTCCGAAGAGCACTTCGGAACCGTACAGGCCATCAACAGTTGACGCAAGAGTCGCTATGCCTTAAAGCACATTATCACAAAGGACACAAAAGATCGACTAATAGACTATAAATACAGATTATTACATCCTTCAGGAGTTAGAAATCCTATCATTAATCATTCTCACGTGCGACTAGCTCGTCTACAGCTCCCCTTACATAATTAAAGACACTCGATTACTTAACATATTCTATTAAACATCTTACACCATTATCAAGTATAGTTATTCATGCATCAAGCATACTTGATTCGACTACCATCGTCTCATGCTACCTCACAAGCATGATTGATTGACTACACCAGCTGATATTTACAACATCAGCATTACCTCAACTTCAAGACAGTCATATCCATAGAACCACAATAATTCAAGAATCCAAGAATACACCCTCACTACTTCAATAGAATTATTTCTCTCTACATCAAAGTGCAATATTATTATAATCTTTTACAATAATAAATATTGTTTTACTAAATACACGATATTTTTCAACCTTATCACTTATTATTTCCTTTGAAGTTATCCTGTCGAGAGACTAACCCACTGAACTATTGAATTGGTAGTCGAGCCATAAACTAAACCTTTAAAATCGAACAACATCTTTTAAATTATATGAAGCTAGTTTCTAACTATCTTTATAAGTTAGTTTGTATAGTTTTATGATTTTTATTGTAATATACTTTATATATAAAAACTTAAAATTAATATGTTAAAATTAAATACAAATTGATTTTTAAAAGATGTAATAATTATATAAAAGGTATATTCAATAATCTCATATTAAATTTAATGGATGTATGTTAAATTTCTTAAAATTATATGATCTTAAAGAATATGAAATTTTATCAATCATTTTATTTAAAAATTTGATTTCATATATGATGTTATTTAAGCATTACTTTATAGGAATTGGCAAAAATATAAATTACACTCCAAAGAGTTTATTTAGATTATAATTTATTTTATGAGTTGGAATCAGGTTATTATCAATTACAATTAAGGTTATAATGATTGATCATATCTCTCTATATACAGTAGTATCTCTTTTTCATTTATTTTTCATTAATATTTATTTACAAATAATATCATCATTGACATAAAATTATCTTATGTTATTTTTGTATTATTTTTAGTACTATTATATATATGTTTAAATAATGCATAATAAATTTTTTAATACTAATAGTTAAAATTTATTATATTAAATTTATGAATTACATGTAAATTTTTAATAGTTAATTCTATCACACTATTTGTACTTTCATAAAAATATATTTTTAATATTCATCAGCTTGTATAAGTTTTTTAATCTGATGGAGTCATACTGAAACAATAAATCGTTAGAAAAATTCATAAAATTTTATTTATCAGATAAATTATTTCCTATTTAAAATTTTTATATAATTAGTTTTACTTTTTTAATGTAAATAAAATTCGTTTCTAAAATATATTGAAACAACAATATTGAATGAAACTACATTGAATCCAATCAACAATCAATCAATCAATCAATCAAAATCCAAACAACAATATTGAATGAAACTATTGAATAAAACTACATTATATGTGTGAATAAATTTTAGAGATTGGAATTCTAGAAAATCAGTAATAATTTTTATAAATTGCAAAATATTTGAAAATTTATATTTACAGTAATTGATTCAATTTGTATTTATCTCTATTATTCCATTGCACTTATCAATAAAATAAAATAGTATAACTGATAGATTTTTACGTTTGTTAATTACATGAATGTCAGTAATGAAAACTTTTTTGACGAAATATAATAATTTATAGGAAATGTTATTTATTATATTATAAAATTAATATTTATTATATTTTCTGTAGAATTTGTTAAATTTCCATACTTTATGATTTATATAAATGAGGGTGTTATTTTAGTTTTAAAATAAATACAATTTGAAAACCATAAATTAGTGGATAATCTTTAAAATTGATGGACCAATTAAAAGTTGAGATTTTTTAATTGAATTGTAAAAAATGAAGTCTATGTTATGAAATCTAATCATTATTTCATTATTATAACTTGATTATAAAAGATAACTCTAATTGTCTGATCTCAGACTAAAAACCTCCGTTGGATGTTGGGTGGAGGTATTGCTGGCAAGTGGAAGGAACAGTGCAATTATTCAAGACTACTTGTAGTGTTTATTGTTGTTCCTTTTATTAAATATAATAATATAATAAATAATTAATAATTATGAAGTATATGAATAATGGTACGATTGATTTAAATATATGAAGTTTCTTTAGATTGTTACGCGTTGATGAATGTATATCCATTTCGTTGTATAATGAGTAGGTGCTATCTTAGTATACATTAAACTGCTTATGCTTGTATTATACATTGTTGCCGCGCTTGTGTATGCGTCGGTCTTATCCGTGAGCATATTTAATATGATTTTTATGTTTTCACTGTTGTTTTATCTTAGCACTAATGCATTATTAATTTAAATTTAGTTTAATGAATTTTAGAATATAGTGTCACTATCTTTTTCTTAGATTATTTACTTGATTGATTATTACAATGAGTGATAACTGTAGAGAAAGCTTGAAGATGTATAGTGCGTTTGTTATAATGACTGTGTAATTGTTACTAGACTGGGGCAAACATTTGTTGCACGTGAAGCACAGCCCTTAAATATTCTCGCACTATTCCTTAAACGCCGGTATATGTTGCCATGACGATATTGGTTGTGACGTCAACAGAGCATAGCCTGGAACGTTCGTTGCTGTTGTTTTATTTAAATAACTGAATTGCGCGTTCATACCTCTCCCACTTTCGACTTTCACCTTTTTAATTCTCCTACTTTCGACTTTCAACTTTTTAATCCGTAACACTAATATTATTATACGCTTTCCCAAATTTGTAAAAATACTGGATATCATTTATTTATATTGAATGTTAAACAAATTTTCTTCTCATAACTTTAATTTTCATTAAAATAAAATGTTTATAATTAATATTACAATTGTGTATATTTCATTAGTAAAATAAAAAATTTTGTTACAAAATTATAATCAATCAAATTTTAATCAGTTTTGACGATAGAAATTAATATATGTTTCGTCATAAATATTTTAGATTCATTAATATTAGTTCATTTTGAATAAACATTTAATTCTATTATTTATTAGTTAATAGTAAATATCATTAATTTTGTTAAACAAATGAAATCGGTAAATCTTATGAAAAAATAATATAAAACTAAAAGAATAATATTATTTATAAATTTCTATCTTTAATATATATATGTATATATAAATCTACAGCAATTATAAATACATTATGATTTAAGACCATATAATTGTAATTTATATATGATGCTTGTTACCCAATTAGTTTCTGTATTGTTATTTCATTTAGAATAGCAAATTATTTAACAAATTCTTTTTTATTCACGTTTCGATCTTATGTCTTGTTGTTAAGTAAATTTTCTCCTTTTTATTTTTAGTAAACTATTTTAAAATTTTACTATTTTTTATATATATGAAAATATTATAGATATTTATATATGCTACTATAAATTTTTATTTCAAAATAAATCTGTAATTATATATACAAATATAAAATTATTTATTTAGTATTTAAAAATTAAATAATGTACACTTAATTTTTACTTTATTAAAACTAATGTAAGGAAAATGTTTATTCTAACTTTTAAAAGTAATAAAAATAGAATATTCATTATATTTAATATTGTTCATCATACTGTCAAAATGTAAAATTGTTATTAGTAAACTATTTTATTTAAATATGTTATATTAATTAAAAAGATAGCTTAATATTACAATCATAATAATTATGATTTGTATCATCACACATATGAACATAAGAGTTAAGTATAATACTTTTAGTTTATTATGGATAAATTATAAAAAATATTTAAAATTTGAAATAATTGTCAGTAAATAATAGTAAATGGTTTATATAAGACAATCAAATAATTATGAAGTACATTATTTGTAGATAATTAGAATGAACTAGAAAATTAGTAGTTAAAAATCATTTTTATTCCAATTTTTATATAATTCTACTGATTATTTGTTTTAATCAATTAAAATTAATTAGTTAAAAAAAATTATGTTAACATTATTTGATTTGTAAAATTTTTCCATTAATTACATTTAATAACCTGTTTGTCTTTTCCACAAATTTATTGTTATTAAATATTTCTTATCTAAAATGGTTATTATGTTATTTTATTTAAAATAAAAGGATTTTCTTTTAAATTTTAAATATGAAAATATTTTTTAATTATTTGTTTTAAATTGCAAAATACACATAGAATTCATGTAAGTCTTGCCTAAATTTCTTTAATTACCATGTACATATTTTTTATCAAAATATTATAAAAACTTTACATATTTATAAAATTTTTATACAAATATTGTTGAGCTAAAAATATTTTTTTTATTTACAATTTGTGTTTACAAACATTTATATATAAAGATAGTTTAAAGTATTAAGATAAATAATTTTATATTTTTGTTTTAATCTAATTCACACTTATAAAAATAGTGTTAATGGTCGTCTACTATTAGGTAAGTAACTTTCAGACTTGTATTAGTTTATTAAATTGAAAATATTATAAAGTGACTCTAAAATCTCGATTTATATCAAGAATTGAAGCAAGTACATTAAATTTAAAATTAATAGAAATATAAAAAAATATAAGATTTTACTTTATTTAAAATACCGAGATTATATTAGAGTAGAATTGAATTTAATTCAATTCTATCATAAAAATTATTTTTACCCGTATTACAAATGAAGATTCAACAAATGTCCATAATGTCCTGTTTCTCACTATCCATTATTCATGAGTAATCTCTGTATATAACCTCTATATTATTATGTAAGGTAAGCTTATGCTATTTTAAAAAGCTAACTCACAGACAATTTATAAAGGTCATTCTCCTTAGATTTACTAACCAGCAAATTTATTTGATGTATATCCTTTAAAAACTTGTAGATGCAACTTGACTCCCTGTTCCTTAAGATATCGGTATTTGATTTTACCTATCTGTGTCTGAATGTACTCTATATTTTTGCTCTAGTATATAAACTAGCAGGATTTCACTCAGTTCTTCTGTTTTTATTTCCTTTCCTTATTCTACTTTAATGGCAGTTACGTTTTTTCAAAGATATATCTAACTATGGTATGTAGTATAATCATATCCAAAGATATACTATTTATAAATAATATAATGTTATAATAAAATAATTAGTATTATGTGTTTTTATTGGATGCAGGCGTGTTTAAACTTTTTTTAAAATTTTTTCAAACCTTATGTGTTCATGTTAATGCTAATTTTTATAAATATTTATATCTCTTAATAAATAGATTTATAATTAGTAATAAAGAATTATGTAATTATTAAAATAAAAATAATCTTTATTCATTTCGGGAAAAAGAATACCGTATGAATGGTGAGCCTTACTAAGTTTAGGTTCGAGGAATTGAAACGTTATAAAAGTATTTTTTTATAACGGGCATTTTAAAATATGTTTATGATATTGAAATCCTTTATAAACATATCCACGCATTTCGACCATTCATCACTCGTTATCAAAAAAAGACCAAAAATATCACCGTTTATTATATATTTCATAATTATATATTTAAATCTAGTTAATATATTGTATAATGATAAATTATTTTATTAATTATTATTGAAAAACGAAGTTTAATAAGTACTGTAAAAAATTTGAATAACAATACATACAAATATATAGTTACAAATTGGTATGATTTTATAATTAATAACTTTCTTATATTATATAATTATAAAAAAGAAATATGAAGGGTAGGAGAAAATAAAAACGAAGAAAATATCTTCGTAAAAATGAACGATTACTAATAAGATTCACAATAATCCAGCAGTTATCGTTTTATTTTTACAAATGTTTTACCATTTGTTTGAATATATATTGCATATATATTAAAAAGTATTAAATACGCCGTAGCACAATAATATCATCCGAGCTCATATATTTTCATAGTTGTTAATCAATTATTCACTACGTTTGAATAAATATTTCTAAAGGATATGAATGTCTGCATATATTGATATTAATTTTTAGTTTAATTTTACAAATTTTGAGTTTTGTTATAAATCAGTTTTTAGTAGATATAATTTATTATTAAATTGCAAGTCATTAATATATTATGTATTTATTATTGCAGATATACAAATATATTTATGTATAATAAATACAAACACATTTATATATAATATAATTTGATTTTATAAATATGAAATACTAAATCAATTATATAAAAATTATATAAAATTTTTTGTAGGTGCGCTGTGCTTGTTCTGCTTCATCGTGGGGTTGGCATTTTGTACAGGAGCTGGTGAATACTGGCTAAAAATGTTCGATAGTTTTGCTGGAACAATTGGCCTTGTATTACTTGCATTGATGGAGATCGTAGCGGTTGTGTTTGTTTATGGACACGAAAAGTAAATAAAGTTGTTTTTATCAATTTCATTGATTTATTTGAATAAGTTTTGAATTTATCATATTTTTAATTTATATTTAGATTCACACAAGATATTAAAACCATGACAGGCTACAAGCCAGGTTTATACTGGCAAGTGACATGGAGATTCCTAGCTCCCTTAATTATGATTACAATTTTAATCGCTAGTATTGTATCTATGTTTATACGAAGACCGACCTACAATGCATGGAATGCCTCTTTGGTATGTTTAATCTGTACAATATATTGAAAATTCAAAAATAATTATACGTACGTGTGTGTGTGTGTGGACGCGCGCGCGCGTGATCAAAGAATGGATTGAAAATCTAAATGTTTATATACACAAAATGGAATAATATGATTTGTCAAATCATCATTTTCAAATGTATTTCTACAAAGACAGTTTTTAAAAGTATTATAGTTTGTATATATAATAATTTGTAGGAATAATCTGTGACTGAATAAATTATGCCTAAAGAATTATTGTAACGAAGATGTAGAGTTAAAATTGTAAGTGATTGTATTTAACAAATTAAGTTTTTCTAATAATTATTTTGTTTTTTAATTAATTTCAGCTTTAGCATTCTTTTTTTACTTATTTAGTTTAATTTTTTTACAAGGGTTGTTTTTATTCATTTTTAGTGTGTTTTATGTAATTAATTAATCAATTAATATAATTAATGTAAGTAATTGAAATATCACGTGTCATGTTAATTAATGTAAAGAATATTACAAATATTTTTATATAATGTATATAAATGTTCATAAATACAAATAAAAGTTTTTAAATTTTGTTTGAAAATCAATTATACTCAAACAGCATTTTCATTACTCCAACATATAATATTAATATCATTTATGATGATTTTACATAATTGCAGTTCTTTTTTTATCGCTATATAATTTATAACTATAACTATACATAACTAACTTATATACATATAACTACTTATATGTATATACATAAATATATATAACTATAATTTTTTTAATAACATGCTTACTGTTAACATTAAAATTTTTAAATATTTTCAATATTAATTAATTAAATAGAAAAAATTATGTTTGTAAGCATATTAGTAATATAAGTATATGAAAAAAATGATAATTACGTTTATGTTTAGGGTATGACAATGCCAACAAGAATCCAGATAAGAAGTTATCCAGATTGGGTACTTATAATAGCTGTAATAATCATTTTAATTGGTATCGCACCAATTCCTATGGTATTTTTGTTAAGAAGATTTCAATATATTAAATTGGATGTAGACATTCATCAAGGTAGTATTCGTCGCATAGAAACAACTGTCTCTACAAAGGAAATGATAGGTGATTTTGATGTAAGTAATTGAAAAAATTAGGTTTTTATGAAATACAATATATACTCTTATTAATTTCCAGCAATAAATATTAATATTTTATTTTATATAAATGTATAAAACAACTATTACACAAAATTTTTTTAATAAAAGTTTGTTCTCATTAAACAAAATTTTTATTATATTTAATGAAATTAGTATTGTAATATAATTTTGAATATTCTTCATATATTTTAGATAATAACTTACAATCTTCAAAAGTATGGATTAATGCATTCATTGATTTTTTGAGTTTAATCATAAATTTACTTATTTTTACTATATTACAACTATATTCTGATTAAAGTTTTGTGATTTAATTATAATAATGAGAATTTTCTTTTAATTAATAATATGTGTAATAAATTAATAAAGATTCAATTAGTTTATAACTGTAGAAAATACTATATATTTTAATTTTGACATTTCAGATGAATTTTAAGGATGTAAAATGTACAAAATTTTAAATTAAGCAACAGAACTTTGTAACAATTTTATTTAATAACAAGTCAATTAAGAATTAAAAAGTGTTTGATTTAAAATTCTAACAGTTTCATAGAAAAATACATATGCCATAGGTATTGTGTAAATAGTGTCAATTGTGGTATAAGTAACTATTTTGCAAATTAGGATTTATAATTTGATTTGAATAAACATATTTTCATTTTTCAAATAAATATTAAATATATACTGTTTTAAACACTTTCTGTAGAATAAAAGTAGAAAAATTATATTCTATGATACCAACTTTGTGTAAACATTTTTTTCAAATTCCAATGTTTATTCAATTTTTGAATATGGATAGAAAGTTTGATTTTTAATATCAGTGCTGTCTGGGGTCAGACTAAAAGCTTCCCTGAGATATTGAGAGGAGGCTTGCTGGCAAGTGGAATGGACAATGCAATAATTCAACACGGCCTTTGTATGCGTTGATTTTCCTTTTATTGAATATAATGATATAATAAATAATCAGTGGTCTATTGAGGTGAGATTGAAAGTATGATACAATGAATAGGTGAGAATTTCTTTAGGTAATCAGTGATAATAATCTTGTGAGTGTATTCTTGGTGTAGCGCGTGATTCTCCTACTCGTTATTATATTATGCGGTTATGACTCTTAGTGGTAGAGGGAGATGCGCTGATGAAGGGTAATAATGCCGTGACGATTATGGCGCTGTGAGAGGGGAGGGTTACAGTGACATCACTCTTGATGGGCAATGATGCCGTTATCTTGGTATGCTGCTTACTTGGTTCGTGTGTTGGTGATCCGTAAGAACGTGTGTAATAGCGTAACTTACGTGTGTTGAAGTCGGTCTCAGTTGGATTGATGGTACGCAAGAACGTGTGTAATAGCGTAGCTTACGTGTGTTGGAGACACTCTGTGTGTATTGGATATAAATTCTATGTACGTGGAGTTAACTTGTAGAATGGCGATCCGATCTTGATGACTGCTTGGTGGAACTAGTAAGAGGGCGAAAGCGTCAGGCGCGTCTCCTTAAATATTATCATACAGGCTTGCGATTGCAGTGAATTCTAAACTGCTCTTGTTTGAAGTGACGTCACTAGAGTCTAGCCTTGGAGAGTTCGTCGGTCCTTGTTAGTCGGAATTGTAATGTAATGTTGACTATTTGAGTATTAAATTTTCACGATTTCGGAGAATCGTGTTTACGACTTGGTGCGCAATGTTTTGATCTAAGCAGGTGACTTTACCGCTCCCACTTTGTTTACCGCGAAGAATGCTGCGATCCATAACAAGTGCATATATTAAAAATTCGATTACGAAAAATTTAAATGTAATATATCCATAGTCTGAATAAAGATTAAAATTAGAATAGTAGAAAATTTGTATAATATTTTTCAGACTCAAATGTATTATGTATTACAATATAAATAATAAACATAATATTTATAATAGCTGTAGGATTCATCTGTATAGTTATTTTCAATAGATTGAAGGATGTAGACCGTTTAAGTAATGTATCTTTAAAATTTTAATAAATCGATTAGTTGATCAGAATCTATTGTTAAATATTTTTAAAAGTAGTCGATTAATATAATATTTTGTAATTTTAATATGAATATTATGTTTTAAATTTATTTCCATCATTTTACTTTTTAATGGAAATTTTGAATAATGAGACAGCATTATTACTCGACTAGTAATTATAAAGACATTATAAAAATATTAGTAGTACCAATCTTATTATTTATATTGAATTTTTGTCGATCTAATGATTTTAGGTAATAAATATTAAATACTAAAATTTAAGTTTATCTTTTCAAGTAAATACATATATATAATTAAAATTTTTTAAAACTTAAATGTTTAACATAGTTCGGGATTGGAGCAATTTCCAAGAACTTTAAAATGGGAAAAGTACAAGCCTTCTGACGCTATTGTATATAAACATTGATTCTGCGAATTCTCGAATATACTACGCCTTAATTTTCGAGTGTCATATGATATTCCCGCATAGCAACGTTGATTGGAAATTCTCGAACCTTCCAAAGCTTTGTCTTTCTGAAATACTCCAATTTTCTAGACCTTAGTCTTTGACGTCACCAGATTATCGACCTAGCAACACACCTATGCATTGTTGCCAGCTTAGTAAACTGCCACGTGGATGTTTAACAACAGCTTACCACGCTTCTACACTCACTGTAAATTTCTCAATCGATCAATTATCAGTTACGACTCTACACAGCAAGTAAACTCCGCCATATACCAGTCAGTCAGTTTTACTAATTATATGCACATAATTCAGCCAGACTCTGCAGCAATAAAATAGTAAGCCAATATAGTGAAACCATCATAAATTATAATTGTTCAAGTGCGCTATGATTCGAGCCGCCAAGAGTGCTGATTACATTCCAAGAACGACCACGACATAAGAAGAGAATAAATTATTGGATCGCGATGCTCCCGCTAACGGCTCAAGGTGTACGAAAAGACACCGGCTACAAAGGCATTTATTAGATCACGAAGCTCCCGCGTACGGCCTCAAAGTGTGCGAAAGATACCAGCCTCGAAGGGCACCTCCCTCATACGTTACCTTCACGTGGCATTACACAAAGAAGTACTAGAGATTTACGACCTCTTACTTTCAGTGTAACCATTTACCTTCAAGCAGGCTATGTCAAGACGATTCAAAGATTTACAACCTCCTAACTCTGCACGTAGCGCACGTTAACGCCACGTGGCAATTACCACCGAACTGCAAGGTCTCACAGATTCTCAACACCATCTTAGAATCATCATTATCGTGTAGTCTGTAAAATAAAGTTCAATAAACAGTACGATAAGCCAATATAGTTAATTATTGAACAAATGCGCTAATCCTTCCACTTACCCGCTATCCTCCCACCGAACATTTGGGAGTTTAGTCTAATTATAGACAACATACAATATACATATATAATAATAACTTTTTAATTAGACATAATATACAAAAGATTTCGAGACAGTTTTATATTCTAAAATATTAGCAATAAAAATGTTTTCAGTAAATAAGATTTTATATTAATATTGAAAAATAATTTTAAGAAAAATTTCGATCTGATTTTTAAAATGTATTTAAGAAGAAAATGTTTGCAAATTTTATCATTATATCATTTTAAATTATAATTTGTTAATATATATTTATTTTTCTAATAAAAAATTTATTTTATTTGAAAAATTTTTTTTTTAATTTTGGACTTATTTTATAAATTATTATTATTTTAATAATTATAAATCAACGCACATTAAACTTTTATATTACAATAAAATATAATTCAAATTAAATATTTCCCCCTTATATTACTCTCGAGATAATATAAATTTATATTACAGTATAGTAATATAATTCTTGTATATTCTGATGTGTGATATATTTATTAATTGTCAAATAATGTTATTGTATGGCTGCTTGATGAGTCTACTCATCGCGTGTATAAATAGTAACGTTCTTAGTTACGAGTACTTAGAGAGAAAAGAGTTATTATCCATGCAAAAAAATAAGTTTATTAATTTAATTAATATTCAGTTTATCTATCGAAATGTCAGACAGCTATAATTCAGATTAAATAAAATTCTTTTGATAAAGGGAAAAACTATACTCGATATGATACATCATTTAATTACATAAATTCTTGAGAAATATATCAGGCAAATTTAAAGATTTTTAAATTATTCTTAATCTTTCAATGTCAATAATCGATATTGATATACAATAAAAAGTTTTTAGTAATTATACAAATATTGCAAGTTTATAATAAAAAGTGTAAATACTTGATTAGGCACTAGTTCTTATCTGTTTTATTGTTCCAAATGATTTCATAATGATTTTTTAAGTTTTTCAGGCAATTCTGTTATATATATATTAATATCTCTAAATTCTTTTAGATTGCTAAATTTTAACAGTGTCATAAGACAATGCATTTAAGAATCTTAAATCGGTCTTTCACTTTACCTTCTCCTTCGACTAGAAATTTTCTTTTCTTTTTTTCTCAATATGTCTGTGGAACAGATGATGCATTAAGTAAATTCGGATCTACGTATTCTGTTCTGTTTATAAAAGACTTATTTACCACGATAAGTATCAAACGTCTAGATTGCATAATTAAAAAATACAATTTCAAATTGAATTTTCCGTTTAAATAAGGTTTAATAAAAAATTGATTATATATTTTCATTTAATAATATATATATATATAATTTTTGTTTAGATTGATGAATATCATGACCGCCTTGAAGATTTGGTCGATCATGAAGATCGAAATAATGATGATAATAGTGTGTCTTTAGCAAATATTGCCTCTAAAAATATGAAAGGAAAAAGTTTTAAAATGGATGTCCTGACTTTTTGAGTATATTTATATTATTTAAGTTTTAAAATTTATTGCAATAAAGAAAATAAGAACCATGCATAGTAAAAATATACTTAGGGTTTTAATGGTTTGTAAAATAGAATGTAATATAATGAATCATATAACAAAATAAAATATTCAAATATTTTAAGATTTATAATTAGACATGAAAAATGTTAATTTAATTTAATTTAGTATATGAAATTTAAATTTAAGATCAACATCAATAAAATTGTTATTGTACTATGACACGAGTTAGCAATGGGAAAAATAAAAAAACAGTGTATTTTTATAAAGTAACATGTATGTTACGGATTGCAGTACTTTCTAAGCGGAATAAAAAGTGGGAGAGGCATGAGCGCGCGAGCATTTGTTTTGTAAAAACTAACTGACGTCACGACAAATATCGGCATAGCAACGACCACCGATGCACTATCGGCGCAGCTTGTTTGTACGAGAATATTTAAGGAGCTGCACATGACGCTCTCGTCCTCTTACTAGTTCAATAAAGCAATCATTAACATCAAATTGCTATTCTACAAGTCAACGCCATTTACACAGAGATCGCCTTCAATTCACACAAATCACCATCCTACAAGTCAAACAGCACATACATAAGCTACGCTATTACACACGTCCTTACGTACCATCAATACAACTGAGATCGACTCCACACACGTAAGCTACGCTGTTACACACGTTCTTACGAATCACTAACACACGGCTCCGTGAACTAAGTAAGCAGCAATACCTAAACCACGGCATCATTGCCATTCATCAGTGACGTCACACACCAACGCCACCACTCAGGCCTCTCCAGCTTGTCGGTAGCGGCAACGGCGGCATCAATTCTCCTCTACAGTGACGTCATACACCAACGCCATCACTCAGGCCTCTCCAGCTTATCGGTAGCGGCAACGGCGGCATCAATTCTCCTCTACAGTGACGTCATACACCAACGCCATCACTCAGGCCTCTCCAGCTTATCGGTAGCGGCAACGGCGGCATCAATTCTCCTCTACAGTGACGTCATACACCAACGCCATCACTCAGGCCTCTCCAGCTTATCGGTAGCGGCAACGGCGGCATCAATTCTCCTCAACAGTGACGTCACACACCAGCGCCCCACTCAGGCCTCTCCAGCTCATCGGTAGCGGCAACAGCGGCATCAATTCTCCTCACCAGTGACGTCACACACCAACACCACCACCCAGGCCTCTCCAGCGTATTGGTAGCGGCAATCGGTGGCGTCAACACTCATGTATCACACCGTGATCCTCTTCACGCCATCATCATCCTTTATCAGCGCATCTCCCACTACCACTACGAGTCCTAATCACAAGTAGGAGACACGCGCCACACTCAAGAATACACTTATAAGATTATCATCACTCACATCACCTAAACAAACTCTCACCCATTCATTGTATCATTCATTCAATCTCACCTCAATAGACCACTGATTATTTATTATATCATTATATTCAATAAAGGGAAAACCAACTCATACAAAGGCAGTATTGAATTATTGCATTGTCCATTCTACTTGCCAGCAAGCCTCCCTTCACATCTCAGGGAAGCGTTTAGTCTGATCTCAAACAATGTATTTTAATATTTATGTAATATTATGAAAGACTGATCTAAATCAAAATATTGATTTTCATTTATTAAATTATACATATTAAATTTCATTTATTAATTATTCATATAAAAATTGTAAATTCATTTTACATTTTCATTCCATTATAAATAAAATATTTTAATCTTACTGTTACAATTAACTTTATTATATTACACGAAATAGTTTATTTTCTGTATTATAATGTTGTAGTTCAAGTATAAATTTTATAGCTTTTATTTACAGTTTGAGATAGAAAAATCAATTAAAAATGAAATTGTAAATTAATGTGTATGATTAATTACGTAGTTTTCTAGATTATTATATTTATATACATAGTTTGAACAACAATAATACCAGTATCTTGATAAATTATTTTTGAAAATATATAATTAAATAAGTATATTTTTAAAAAAGTGAAACATTTTATTAACACATATTTTATTTATTTATATAAAATTATTATTAAATAATATTTACAAAATTTTTGAAAAAAGAAAAAATAAGTTGCTTGTACAATCTTCAAATATTAATTTAATATTAATAAAAGCATTAGATTATTTTAAGAGATATTAATATCAAAACATAAAATATTAACATAAGATAATAGAGTATCTGAAAAAAATAACATGGAAACACTGCATAAAGAAAATGTGTACACTACAGTTAATTTTAACTTTCAATCGTTTTGGTTATTTATGTTTGTGAATATATTTTGAAATATGACTATAGTAAAAGAAAGGAATAACAATGTGAATTTTACAAATTATAAACGAAAATATCTAAATTATTTACATTTAAAATTTATTGAATATTGTGAATTTTGGTAATAAATATATTAATATTTAAATGATTGAATTTTTTATTAAAAAATTTAAAAATAAAAATGTATTAAATCAAAAAATTATTATCCTAATAATGTTTCTCTTGTCGTTTTGGTTACTATAAATTTTAAATACATATTTTATGGAATTATTAAAGATTTTATATTTTTTAAAAACCAATAAATATTTCATTAATTACACATTCATTTACCCTTTAACTATGTACAAATGTTTATACTTTGTCCCAATTTAATGCTATATACTGATTTTCTCTTCCTGTTTGCACATCTTTAACTACTTTCACACTTGATAGACAATTTATATTCTTTATATTCTTTTTCAATTTTTAGTATATTCTCTAAATAGTATTTATCTAATAATTTATTGTATTTTTAAAATAACAGGAATAACAATGAATACATTTTTATTAAATTTGAATAAAAGGTTAATTAAAAACAAATACAAAAATAATGTATAATATAACTCCTTATTTTTGTTTCATTACACTTTTTACCAAAAATTATTTAGTCATTATTAATTATACAGATAATTATTTACATACAAATAATTTAATAAATAAATAATTACCAAAGTTTATTTCACTATACTTGAATATATCATGCTCATCATGCCTATGATATAAATAAATCTAGATATGTTAATTAATTATTAATACCAGTAATATAATTTTAACTTAATTTATATATGTTTATATAAAATAAATTTTTATTTTCACCAGTTATTATATATGTAATTTAAATATTAAAAATACACATTTATTTAAAAATATTTTATGTTAATAATCTGAAAATATAAATTTTATTTTAAGTTCAAGGTTTATATGAAGACTAAATCTCAATTTCTGAATTTATAATAAGCACACCTATATTGTATTTCAAGTAAATATAATTAAATATTACGTACAATTAAATTTATTTGAAGTAGAAATTATTTTTTTATAAATATTTTGATTGTTACACATTATTAGTGCAATAATATAATTTTTATATTTTTTATAGATACATTATTTAATAAATCTCTATACATATTTTATGGTACATTAAAAAAGTTGAATTTTTCTTATTAAATATTTATGATAATCAAATAGTAGATTATAGTTTCCTTATCTCACTATTATAAAAATGATTTTTATATTGTATGATTATTCTGCTTTTCCAATTTTCCGACCCATACTTAGTTGTGGAAATGTACCTTTGTTAGGTACTGGATTTAATCGTGAAGATAAATGAATTAGTGCTTCATACAAACTTGGTCTATACATTACATTAACTTCGAAATGTTTTATTTTTTCTCGAATACACCAATTTGTAGCTTTAATAGTATTTTCTATATAATTATCTGTATTAAGCATTGTTCTGTTACCAATTACTATAATTATTATTTCTTTTTTATCTTTATATTTTTCTATATCCTTTTTTATAGATAGTAAGAGATCCAAAGATTCTGACTTACAGGTGTCATACATTAATATATAACCATCTGCAAAACCAAGGTAATGTCTTGCTAACTGTTCACTATTTGTACTAGTTTGTAAAGGTTCTAATCCTGCTGTGTCATAAAATCTTATTTTTTCTTTAATACCTTTATCTGTTTCAATATTTATTACATAAATGTCCTCGATTGTAGGATATATTTTCTAAAAAATCAACATATTAAAAATAAATGAGAAATATATTTTCTATAGATTTTTAAAGTTTCTTAATATTTACTTTAAATATAGGTTTTAATTTATTATATTTACCGACTTTGGTGTAATATTTCCATAAACTAATTGTTCTAGTAAAGATGTTTTTCCAACACTTTTCATCCCACAAATAATTACACGAGTAGTTTTTCCCATAATTTGCTTTTTTCTATACATATAAATGTATATATATATACATACATATTAGTTATTATTAAGCATATTTCAATTTAATTATTATGATTTCAATTGTCTTTGTTCTAAACAATTTTTATTGACATATTTTTATTTTCACAATAGAAAATATATTCATATAGTTTAAGTAACATTTCCAAAAAATATTCATTATATAAAATTCATACTTTTACTTAAAAATCAGCAGTCAAATACATCGAGTAAAGTTTATTTTCATTAAAAAATTGTTAAATTTTTTCATTGTAACTTCTACCATATTATTAAAAACGCAAACCACATTCAGAAAATAAATTAAAACTTAATTATATATTAACATCAAATGGACAAATGTGCAGGAATAAAGTGTGTCTCCATCTATTACGAGTTGAATTCTATACCAACAGCTGATAAAAATATGTATAAAGAGTATAAATTCCAATGAGTAGAAATTCAGTATAAACACTTGTAATGTAATAATAATAATTTACACATTTTCTTAATTTTATTTTTAAAATTTTTTAAATTAATAATATTGTAATAATTAACAGCCATGGCATTAATTAGCAGTTTTTTCTCATAAGTTGCTACAAATTATGAATTGTTTATGTTTTGAGTTGAGTATTTAAAGGAATGCTTAAACTATTATAAAAATAGTGGTACTTGAATAAAAAAATTTGCTTTTATAAAAATTAATAAATATCAATATTTATAAATTCATTTTGGATATTATTGCTAATGTAAATATTAATGATAACTTTTTTTATCCGAAATTTCTTTATGAATATATCTATCAATTTAAATAATTTGAAATTTAAACTTATTGAAAACATAATTATATTATTCATACAAATATTATAAACTTTAATATTTCTAACTTTTACAATAAACTAATTTATAATATGTAAAAAATATTTGAATTTATATTTATTAAACTAAACTTAACAAATTTAGATTAATGTTTTGTATAGAAAATTAAACAATTTCTTTTTCTACAAAACCAATAAATAAATGAACTAAAAAGAAAATCTTATTATCAATACATGTATATCATAAATGTAAAAATAATATCAAAGTGAACATTATTTACTAAAATCCAAAACTACAATTAAAAAACTGTAATATAAAACCTCAAGTGACTATATCATGAATGTAAAACTGTTTCTATATTCTTGAATTAGATTTCGCAGTAATAGATAGAATTTAATTTCAAATGATTACTTTTGTTTAATAGGTCGGAATAGGTGTTAAAGAAGCCTACCATAGCATAAAAAAATTTTGCTTAAAACCTATATTTATATGGAATAGTACTAGATATTATAACTTTAAAAATAAAATTAAAATACCTTTTGAGTTTCAATGACAGATTAATATATATAGAGATAGGTAAAGACCAAAGTTCAAGAGTTGAAGAGAGGTCGTGAGTGAGAGGGGGGGAAAGAGATGGATATGTCAATACCCCATTAAATTACACAAATAGGCTAATAATTTGAAATATTAGATTTCATTGATATAAATGTACTCTATCAAGATTTCTATAAAATTATATTTTATATTCATTTTTACCTTTAAAAGCTAACAATATATAGTACTATGCTATTAATGTAAAAAAATTATATGATGAATGCTAAACAATATATTAGTCCAAATGGCATTGGCTGACACATAATAGAGGAACGCTTATCTTTTATAACATATAAATAAATACATATATTTATAGGTGATCGGTAAATAATTGTGGTAAGTTATATATAATGAGAAGAAGGAAATGTAAAACTGATAAGTGACTATTTATTACTGGTCATATGCTCAATGTACCATATAAATGCGAGATAAAATATAAAATCTAATATTTTAAATCAGTTTACTAAGTGCTTTTCTTGAAATATAATTTTCTTCCAAATCATAATTTTTCAAAAAACCTGCAATGTATTGGATGCAATGTAAACATTAATTTAGTAAGGACACTTTAGTCTGATTTTTTCTTTGGTATAAATAGTTAATTGCCATTGTTGTTATTAATCCATAGTAATTTCAAGATTACTGTTGAAAATTTAAATCTTTTTACATATTAAAATTTATATGATATTCTACATCCAGTATAACCAACTTGAATAATTAATAATTAAAAATAATTAAAATAAATTGTATGAACTTTCATGAAAGATCGTTTAATTTTTTTATCCTTACAATAAGGAAGTTAGTATAATTATTGAAAGAAGGGAATAGAAAAAATTGCCAGTTTTATATTTTTTAATTAATTTTTATTGTAATAATTATAACGTTTATAATAAATAATGCAACAAAAACTAAAATCTTATAAAATTGAATGTATGTGATTACTAAATTCTGTGAAATTTATGTTATTATTTTATTACTATAATATTATTTATATTATATATTTAAAGAACAAAGATAGTAAATTAAAGATTATATGAAAGATTCATAATACAAGATTAAAATATAAATGAGTTTTTAAATACTACAAAACCTATAGCTTCTGCAAAACAAAAGCTTCTGCACCGATTTAAAATTGAAATATTAATTTTTTAACATATAAATTGAAACAACAAATAATTTATTAAGTTTAAATTATATGATAAACTTATTAATTATAATTATTTAAAAAATAGCTAATGTTTAGTTTATTCGGTACTTTGGTAAAGTTAAAATACTTTGGTAATGGTACAATACATAACATGATACCCTAATGGATTGATGTAACAATATTATTAAGATGATTTTTAAATATGACAATGCCATTATTTTAGTTTTTTTTAAAAATTGTTTTTATTTTTGCCAAACTTATACAATCTAATATCAATTCTATCATGAACTTTATTCAATTCTAAAATGTACAAATGATCATATTAATTTGAAATTAATTTTGAATAAGTAAACAATTTTATCTTTCTCTTGAAATCTAACAAATGGTTTAAAGTAATGACATACTGAGAATTAATTATCTTTGTTAATATTTTTGAGTTCCAATAATTAGGCAACTCGTTAATAAATGACTGAAATATATATTATTTATCAGTTATCATAACATTAAACAAGTAATTAATATAAATATTATAAGAAGATAGAGATTGATATTGATCAGATAATATTTTTTAATAAAATTGAGTTATTAATACACTATATATTTATTTAAATATATATATTATTGTTTTATACATCTAAACTATATCAAATTCAAATATTACTGTTTATAATTTATAATTTAATTCATTTAATTTTAATTATTAAAGTATAACCTAAAACTCTTTTTTTATTAAAAAAATGTAATTTGTTGCACTGAAATTTTGTTATTAAATTAATAATTAATATTATTAATATTATTAATATTATTAATATTATTTAAGAAATTCGGTAGATTAATATTAAAAATATAATTTCTATTATTTTCAACTTATTTTAATATTGAGATTGCATATATAATTATAATCTTTCAACTTTTTTATCAAATCTATAACGAATCAATAATTTATATAAATACTCCTATATATTTAGAATTGCTTTTATGATAGCATTTGTATCTTATTTTTTAGTTTTTAACAAAAAGGGTTTCGTATACTTGTATTCACATATGCGCATGAGCACACGTAGAGGAAGCAATTAATTAGCAACTGCTGATTTCAAATTTTATATTTTAAATAATTAAAGAAATTCTTTTAATAAGTTTTATATAGTTTATACTATTCGTAAATATTGGCAACTTTATTTATCTAACTTCTTTACAGCAGACAAATTTTATACTTATAGTTTTCGTAAAATAGTGGTATATATTACTCTCATGATCCTTAATTACTTTTAAAATACAAATTTCTCAATAGTTTAAAATGTATTTAAATTAGCACATTTTATAAATTATTAGAACTAAATTTTTTCATATTTATATCTACAGAACATTTATACGATATATAAAAATATTTTTATAAGGCAAAAATATGAGGTACATATATTAATATATCATTTGAATTCATTAATATTCTATGTTTGAAACTAATTTAAATTTATCGGAAATTAATTTATCGGTATTTTTTTATAGTTCTATTTTTTAAACAATTACCATAATTACTTACAAATTTATTTGATTGACATAAATTTAAGCAGTATGCACCTTTAAAGTACAGAAATATAGGTACATTAAACTTATCAACGTGGTTAGATTGCATTCAATGGATACATACATCAATACAAACTTACAAGCTATATAGTTGCATTATTGATACAAAACTGTGCTTAAAAAGAATAAATATTTGAATATTATAAAATGTCGCGTATTCCATTTTTAGCAAAAATATATAATTGTTGAAAGAATAAATTATATTTTTGTTAAAATATAATTAATATTTCTATTTATAAATATATATTTTTTGTGTACTGACCAGTACTTTGTAAGTTATAAAATTTTTTATTATTTTTATTTTTATGAATGTTTCTGTCATATTTTCTTATATTTTTCATAATATTAAGCAAGAAAATTATTACTGTTATCATTTAATTATAAATGTAATTATACATGATACGTTAATTGATAAAAAGGACATTAATTTTTTATATAATATTTCTTTAATGTAACAAAATAAAATAAAATATGTAATATTTGTTAATAAAAATATTACTTAACTGAATAAAATAAGATTTTCAAATGCTATAGTATTTGATTATATTGATCTCTTTTCAAATAATAAACGTGTTGTCATGGTTATTTTTGAAATTGATCGATATATTTATAAATAAATACGATAAAAGTTATAAATGTGATCATTTAAGGCATTCAATTTCTAGAATTTATTCATATAAATTTTGATTATGTGGTAACTTAATGTTAATTTATTGAAATTAAATTGTGAAAAGTAAAATTTATATGATAATATAAGACTACAAAATTTTCATATGTAAATTAAAATCAAATCAATTAATTTCTTAGATAAGATAAGATTAGATAAGTTTAATATTACATGTATAAATATAGCACATGAATACCTTATATATTATATGGTTATAATATATTATTATGTAGGATGTTTTTACTATATCAAAAATTTGTCTTGTGTTTATTACGTGATTTTGAAATTCCTAATTTTTATAAATTTTGTAGATATATAAACAACAAATTATAAATGTAAGTTAAAATAATTTAAGTTATTTAAATACTTTCCAAAAAAAATACTGTCATACTGTACGAAAAAAACATGTTTTGCATACACCTCGGTATTTTTCGCTGTATTATTTTCCGTTTTTTTATTGTGTGCTAATTTTTCCATTCCTAAGGATTTTCTTTGATTAAGATATACTTTTATATTATATAGTTCAGATATTTTATCAAAATTAAATCGTGTCGAGTATTTTGAAATTATTTTAAGAATATATCTAATATGAGTTATAAATAAAGAAATAAAGATACAGATTGCATTCGTAAACTTACTATAATAAGCATAGTAATTTTATTTTAACGATCATTATATGACATTTTTAAATGGTAATAGAAAATTTTTAAAATCATATTATTAGATTATAATTATATCACTTTCATATATTATATGTTATAAGATTTCACTTTATAGTATTATATAAAGTATTTTTAAATACATTAAAAATTCTATTTATACTTTATTAAAAATTGATTATATTATTGTTGGAATTCCAGCCACCCGAATGGTCAGAAGACCAAGGTGGTTGGATTAGACTGTACCACCGGTTTAATGGTGGAAAAGGGGGGATGAATGAGAGCTTAATGCATCAATTCAGTATAAACACAATTGTTTTTAGTGACTTTTATTTAAGGTTATATTACATTGGTAGTTGTTTTTACCGGTCGTTGTGAGAATTGTTGAGCTCGTCGTAATTCTGACAGTTGGAAATCAAAACTGTGGAACGTCGTCCTGGAGTGCAAGACAAGACTGGTCTGTTTGTACTGTGCACGCTTTATAGTGCACGTATATATGCACGCATAATAGCAATTACCAGGGAAATTATCGCGAGAGACGCGTGGCCGTGGACGCTCTCATTAGCGATATGACTTGTGGGGACTATCTAACAGTATCGACGCCTTCTTACGCGGTCTGATAAGAATCAAGTTGCACAGGCCTGACCGATAATGACAACACAATACCGTAATAAATAATAAATAGTATAAACAAATAAGTATACCTTGCACGGATTCCCGTAGACAAACATGTAGAACTTTAACTGTTGTGACTTGCACTATCTCACTTTGACTTACTCAACAAGACTGATTTCCTTCGACTTCCACCGCACTATATATACGACCATTATACGAGCATATATGAGCTTTAGAGTCTAGAATTAATACCTTTGGTGTTACAATGTCGAAGCTTTCTCGCATATGGCTAGTTTCAATTCTTGAGAATTCTCTCAAATT